CTCTCTCTCTCTCTCTCTCTCTCTCTCTCTCTGCCTTTCCCTCTCTCTCTTTCTCTCTCTCTCTCGCTCCCTCTGCCTTTCCCTCTCTCTCTATCTCTCTCCCTCTCTCTGCCTCTCTGTCTCTGTCTCTGTGTGTCTCTGTGTGTCTCTGTGTGTCTCTGTGTGTGTGTGTGTGTGTTTAACCAGTTCCTCTCTCTGTGTGTTTATTAGACATTGTTAAACATGTGATAAAGGAGTACCGGACTCTGTACCAGGACATCATGAAGCGAGTGGACCGAACGTTCGAGCAGGTGAAGAACTCACTCAGGGTCTGGATGAGGTTTACATGGTTCTGAGGTTCTGATGTTCTGATGTTCTGATGTTCTCCTGCAGGTGTTTGGGCTGAAGCTGGTGGAGATCGACTCCAAGAATCACATTTACATCCTCACCAACAAACTGGAGCAGTCACGTGAGGAACCAATCAGCATGTGAGTATCAGTGACATCATCATGCTGCATGTTGCTCACATTATAACTCGGGTCTAATCTGATCTAATCTAATCTAATGTGATGTGCTGTGTCAGGTGTCCTGCAAATCCAAAGACCGGATTGCTGTTTGTGATCCTCGGTGTTATTTTCATGAAGGGAGGAAGCGTTAAAGAGAGTAAGTTACTGTATTTACAGTTTCAGTGTTTGATCTGTCGGTTTTCTCACAGATTAAAACACATTTCTGTTACTGTGTGTGTTTTTATATCATATGTTATATGTGTGTTTTTATATCATATGTTATATGTTATACGATCATGCGTTACTCAGGAGCATGTGCGTCTAACACCAAACTGTAAAACTGTCAAAAGCTTTAACTGCTACATGATTCTTGAAGGCTTTTCTACACTACACGATTCGCTTCACGATACACAGCTGCACACAAATAAATCAGTGTTTATCACTCAGCTCTACCAAATATCATAAACAACTTACTGTGTATATGTTTAAATGTTACGAATGTTGTTACATAAAAAATGTAGGTTGTACTGCTAATGACAGAATGTTGCTAATAAAGTGGCCTGGCACTAAACTACATCAAACACTGATACAGTGTTACACTGCTACGCTGTCACAATGTTACACTGCTACACTGTCACAATGTTACACTGATACACCATTACAGTGTCAGTGTCACATTGTTACACTGATACAGTGTTAAGGGGTTACACTGTTACACTGATACAATGTCACGCTGTTACAATGTTGACTGTTACACTGATAGAGTGTCGTGCTGTTACACTGTTACACTGATAGTGTCGTGCTGTTACACTGTTACACTGATAGTGTCGTGCTGTTACACTGTTACACTGATAGAGTGTCGTGCTGTTACACTGTTACACTGATAGAGTGTCGTGCTGTTACACTGATACACTGATAGAGTGTCGTGCTGTTACACTGATAGAGTGTCGTGCTGTTACACTGATAGAGTGTCGTGCTGTTACA